TAACAGTTGGACTGTTATCATTAACTCTAAGACGTTTTACGTAATATTCAGTCTAGGTTAAACAGTTACCAACCAAGTTAAACAGTTAGGCCCGGTTTCCCCAAAATGGTGTAAACTTCGTTTATAATAAACTAGTTTACTTTTAAACTCCGTTTAAAATGTGTGTTCGGTTTCTCCGACATTTTACTGGCTTCGTTTAAGATAAACGGCAATTCGAGCGGTTGGCAATCCTGAATGTGTATTTGTAAAGAATCTTCGGTGGGCTTTGGGCTAGTGTTTCTTACAACGCTCGCTACGCTACGCTACAACTCGGTAGAGCAGACAAGCAAAGTGCGAATGCTGCTAGAATAACATCACTGTTAAAGGTTATGTTATGTTATAAAGTTGATTTTTCTTTTACAACAAGAAGAATTCTGTCCCTTATTTTAGTAGGCCCTCTTGTTCTTGGTATCAAAGTGTTATAATCTTCATCTTCAACTTCTTCGAAAATGTCAATTAACTCTTCCATTTGAGTTAAGGCAAATACTGCAGTAGCCTAACTTGCAAAAAAATAAATGTACAAATAAAAAGAACTTAACAAACAAAATAAATTAAAATATAAATAAAACTTAACTTAACTATAGGCCTTTACAATATAAGCTAGCCCTAAGCTGAGCCTATTTTCGTCCAAATAAATTTGTTGATGCTTCAATTATTAACCTACCTATGTTTTGGAATTATTTGAGGTTATCTTACTGTTGTATACGTCTGTATACAAGATGTATACAGATGTATATGTACAGATGTATATAAGTCTATATGTACGTAGCTAATATATAGATTAAAGATAGCTAATATAATAAGATAAAATGGGAAGAATCACGAGTAGCAGCGTAAAAATGTTATTTTGACTGACAGCAATAAAACAATAAACCATCTGCTTATGTTTTGTAGCATGTGTATGAAAAACGTAATTTAGGATTTTAAGAAATTTAATCACCACACTAATAACCAAATAGGAAGATAAAGTTATAGACCATAAATATAAAAAATCTTAGTAATGAAATTATAATGGTGTGTTTATAGTTATATTTTATGGCTTCAATGAAAATAATACTTCAATTACCGATTGCAATGTTATGTTTGCTACACGAATTGCTTTGTTTATGTTTAATGTCAAAAGTAAAACTCAAAATAACTTATAGGCCTACTGTAATTAAGTTCTAAATAATGTAATAACATTTACAGAAAGTAAATCCAAATCGTCTAAAAACTGAAACATATATTTACATTCGTTCGCCTATTGAGTTTAATGACAATTTGATTTTCCAATCAAAATAGTTCATTACTTATACCATTTCATATTATATATTTATAGTCCTAAAAATAAAGAGTATATGTGTTTCAAGTGTAATATGACATATTTTTATTTATTTTCCGTAAGTAAAAGTCCCCAAATTCATAAAAAATAAATATAAACATAGGTTTTGCAATCCCGTTAATCCCGGGATTAAAAGTCACCAATTCCGGGATTTCTAGCAGGGTGTCTACTACATTCTGGATAAAAAATTCATGGACAATTCCCGTACATTTAAGGACACTTTGCCGTAACCTTTGTCGGTGTCATTAGGCCTACCGAATAATTTTCCTGATTTGTCAAACTGTATTAATCTTGTTATTCACTGTACAGTAGTTGTACCAGAGAGAAAAGTAAATAATAATAGATAAGAGTTAAAAATTTCAAAATAGAAATTTATTGAAAGTAAACAAACATAGGCCTACCTATACTTTAGGTATAGCTTTTATAGTGTAACAGAGAAACGCAATCATTGTCTCCTGCGATAGCGACAAATATCTCCATCGGTCACGTAAACTTCATAACATAGCTTATCCGATACAGGCGGATTAATTTGGCATGATTTGCCCTGGCACAACGTTAGGTTCTCGACTACGGTACTTTAAAAAAAAAAATCTTTAATGCATATTGTTACTCAGTTCTTAGTACAAAATCAAGGTATGGTAAGCGGCTACCGATAAGCAATAAGCACAGAGTAAGATTATTGTATTTTCATTTGAAAAGTTAATATAGACACATAGCAATCATTAGTTGTTTATCTTAGGCTCAATTACATTTTCTTAATATATTTTACAGCTCTTTCAAGAATCAAAATACCCAGGCCTAGACCTAATTATTAAGGCCTATATAAACTGAGTAACAAACAATGAGGTTATAATAGCAGCAAAGTCACTATCATCATTCTAGTTCATAAGATTTAGATTGCTTAAAGCATACAACTCAATAAATACAATCAATAAATGTAATAAATCAATAAATATATGGGAAACAAAAAACATTGAAACCTGAATAGCCAACAAAATAAGACAAAGATACAGAAAATGCAATGACATAATTTGAAACCAAGCAGGCCTACATACTGTAGTGATAAAACATTAATGCAAACAACAATGCTTGTGGTTTTGTCAATTGAAAGATAAAATATCCATAAAAAAGGTTTACTTACAAAATAAGACTGTAGATTATTTACATGTTTAATATGAAACCATAAACAGTTTTATGACACTAGGCAAGCAAATTGAATCTTCAAGCCGAAAGTACAAGTAAGAAGTGAAATTTAACAGCCATTATAAAGCTATTATTTTCACGATAAAATAGGTTTGGGATCTAATAATAATTACCCTAGTAATAAAAAAAGAAGTTGTAAAGGAATAAAAGTGATACAACTTTTATGAGCTAGCTGCTGAGTCAACAGTTCTTGGAAGTACTTGACTTGACACTTGATTGTCGTGATAAAATATTAATGGGTTTGAAATTGCTAATGGGATTTTTATTGCATAATTACTCTGGTAATAAATTATGAAAATGTAAACAAACATCTGATAAACCTTTTATGTGCTCCTAAACAACTAGCGATCAATAAAATTATGGCCCATTAAAAATTTAAGGACATAGTCTGGCATTTAAGGACAATTCCCGTACATTTCATGGCCAGTAAAAAATTAAGTACAATTCCCGGTTTTCCCGGATTTCCCGGTTGGTAGACACCCTGTCTAGGTATCACAAATTGGTCAGGATCCCGGGATTGAGACCCCTACTTGCAAGTAAGTTTAACAGAAAGGGACCGAGACGCTTTAAGATTTTTGTGGTGGAAGGACTGTGGTATTTGGAGTTTTTTCTAGCCCATATTTGTTGGGTGCTACATTAGCTCATCATCTGGAGAATTCTCCTGAAACTATGAAGGATACGGCAAACAAATTGAAAGAGTCTTTCTATGTTGATAACTGTGTGACAGACAAATGTTGAGAGTGAATATAAACTTCATCAATTTATAGAAGAATCTCGGCTTTTTTTGTCAAAAGCCAAGTTTGAGCTTTGAAGTAGGGCTAGTATTGTTACGCTGTCAGAAGAAATATACAAGTCTGAAGAAAAGAATATGCATCTCTCAGACAACTCTGTTCCTGTCTTAGGATTAATGTGGGATGTAAAATCAGACGAACTTTACTGCAATGTGAATTCTGTAAGCATTTTTGGTAAACCAATCACAAAAAGAAGTTTATTGTCAATATCTCATCGTATATTTGATCCAATAGGATTCACTTCTCCATTTACTTTAATTCCCGAGATTTTACTACAAAAGGTTTGGAAGCTAAAACTGAGTTGGGATTATGAACTACCATATGACTACTATATCTATCTACTATATCAATCTTCATACTACCATATCAATCTCCAATAAAGTTATGATATCTTACAACAGTTTGATAAGTGGATAAAAGACCTGCACTATTTGTCAAGTTCTAGGATTCCTCAAAGGTTTAGTGATTGTGTACAGTAGGTCCTTCATTGTACATAAGTCTTCATACATTCTGTGACGCGAGTAAAATATCATATGCAGCATGTATCTTTATAAGATTTGAAGTAGGTGAACATGTCACAATCCAACTTATCGAAGCCAAATCAAGATTGGTACCTGCAAAATCTTTGACTATTCCACGTTTAGAATTAACAGCAGCACTGATAGCGTCAAGATTATTTGTTTCTGTCTCTGTCAAGTCAACCCTGAATATTCATAATTGTAAATACTATTTTTGGACTGATTCAATGGTTAGCCTGACATGGATTACGACAAAAGGGAACTGGAGTACTTTTGTGGGAAACAGGTGTAATGAAATACCTCACAATACCAATGTTGAAGACTGACATCATATCCCTGGTGCTTACAATGCAGCAGACATTCCCTCAAGAGGCTGCAGTGGAAAATCCTTCACAGATAATAAATGGTGGTTAGGTCCTGAATGGCTAAACCTTTCAGAGGACATGTGGCCAAGAAGTGAAGTTATGGCTCGAGCAGAAGAAGGAGAAAGTATTGTTGAAAAGGAACTCTTAGACTTCACCAAGATGAAAACCAGATGTGGAAGAGAAGTAAAGGTTCCCTAACGATTTTGCTGATTTAAAATTGCATATACTTGGTTAGAAATTTTAAATGGGGGGAGGATGTTGTGAAATTTATTGAATATGTTTTCACTTCATTAATTATCCTTTTGATCTGACTTTTATATTTTTCTTAACTACTGTGTTTTCTTTTACCACATGTAAAATGTTTTAAATCTTGAAATAATTAGCAAAAACAGTAAAATAATTATTTCGCAAACAGATTAGTAAGCTTCTTGAAATAATTAGCAAAAATAATAAATAATTATCTCACAAACAGATTAGTGAGCTTCTTTATTCATTCCAAAGTCATAAATGAATCTTCAAACAATTAAAATTAAATTAATTCAAAATATTTAACATGTGGTAAAACTAAATACAATAGTTTAGAAAAATATAAAAGTCAGATCAAAAGGAAAATTAATGAAGGGAAAACATATTCAATAAAGCTTACAACACATACCATTGCTTCATTCAAAATCCCACAAAATTACATTTGCCCCACAACTATTAGTACCAAAAAAGATATGACTGTAATAAATGGCTAATAACTTAATAACAGAATAAGTACCTGTAAACGTTTGACTTCTTCTGCCCTGGCAAGTTCATTACACGAGTCAAGCAAACTTGAAAGCTTACGAGGAGAGCCAAAACTTGCTAGTTCACTAACAAGCAAACTAGGTGGGGTAGAGTCTGCCCTGAAAAAAAAAACACACGTAAGACATTAAATAGGTAATGATAATTATACACTTGATAAAATATGGAAAAATATGTTTACTTAGAAATATTCAAACACATACTAATTGAAATTACTTAATTATAAAAGCAGATGACACATTCTTTAGTTTGCCATCTGTTATAATATAAGTGACAACTCTTGTGCTTAAGCTTATTCCTCTTTGCAGTATCAATGTTAGTTACTCTATGACAAAGAATAAAGGTCTTTGGATTCACCGTAGAAACGTGTATTCACTACCCGTGTCGCTCCTATAAGATAAGCCTATAAATAATGTAATAATTAGCAATAGTAATTATATTATGGTGTCAGAAGTGGGATATGAGTTCAGTTATTGTGAAATTATACATAAGTTTTAAATAGCAGTAATAAAATGATCCAGTAAAGCTGTTAAAAATTGTCGGTAAGCGGGATAGGTTATAGAGAAAACTACGGTCCCCAGATCTGTCTGAACTCACACTGGAAAACGGCGTCGTTGGAAGGCTATGGAGCCCCGAGAGAATGGTTTATGGGATTTCTCAAGAAAAAACTGTAACTTGTGTGATCTAGAGTATGATTTGTGATGGAATCTTTAAGATATGTCGGCTATATCGTAATAATGAATATTGAAGTTATATTGTGAGATGTAATACGATGAATGCAGCATTAACTCCTCCTTCAGAATTTCAATTGACTGGTAATATCCCTGAAAATTGGACAAAATGGAAGCAGAGACTAGAACTGTATATTTCAGCAATTGGTCTAGATAAAGTTAATGAAGACAGGGAGATAAGTATATTATTAACTTGCCTAGGAGAAAATGGAATAGATATATTCAATAGTTTTGTTTGGAACGATGATGAAGAAGATAAGAATAAATTTACTGATGTACTCAAGAAGTTTGATGAACATTTTAAGCCTAACAGAAATGTGACTTTTATGAGACACAAGTTTTTTACCAGGTCCCAAGAGCCTGGAGAAACTATTGACCAATTTGTTACGAACTTGCGGAATAAAAGCAAAGATTGTGAGTTTGGTGATTTAGTTGAAGGTCTTATAACCGATAGAATTGTGTGTGGCATCGCGAATTCCCATATAAAGGAAAGACTTCTCAGAGAACCTGATCTAAAATTGTCTAGAGCTCTGGAGATATGTCGAGCGGCGGAGATCAGCTCGCAGCAGATGAGGGTGCTGGAGAGTGGAGTCAAAGGAGAGTCATCAGTCAGCTTGCTCAAGAAAAGAACGTCCCAGCAACCGCAGAAACAGACATTTTGCCAAAATTCTAAGCAAATGTCTGGTAATGTATCTTCACCTTCAGGTAAACCTAAATATAAGCCTAAAAATCCTTGTAGTCATTGTGGGTCGTTTCATGAATTTAAAAAATGTCCTGCCTTTGGTAAGACTTGTTTTAGTTGTAAAAAATCTAACCATTTTTCTAAAATGTGTCGTAAAAAGGTACATGTTGTGACTTTTGATGGAGATCAGTCTGATATTGAGCCTAGCTCTGGAGGTAATCCTAGTAGGCCTAGTTCAAATAATCATAGATATGATTTGTTTGTTGGTAACATAAATAAATCTGAAGCTGATGTTAATGCCAATCCTAAAGCTGAATGTAAAGAGTGGAGAGCTCTAATTCAAGTTCGTAATAAAAATGTGTCTTTTAAAATTGACACGGGTGCTGATATAAATGTGATTTCCAAATCATTGCTTTATGAATTAGGATTGAATGAAAATGTTTTGTTACCTGTCAAAGCTAATGTCACAACTTTTAGTGGTGAAAAGTTAAATGTATTGGGTAAGTTCTCAACTGATTGTCAGTATCAGAATCAATCTGGTAAACTCTACTTTTATGTTGTTGGTTTTGATTGTGATTCCATTGTAGGCTTAAGTGGTAGTGAGAAACTTAATCTTGTAAAAAGAGTTGAAAGTCTGAAAACTGATCAAACTAATGGTCGTGTCAATGTAAAGTCTAACAATGCTCATGTGAAATGTAAAGTACCTATTCCTGTACAGTTTTCTGAATTTTCTGATCTATTTGATGGATCTATTGGATGTGTTGCACAACCAATTAAAAATGCATTAAAAGACAATGTTGATCCAGTGGTTACACCACCTCGTAAAATTCCATTTGCTCTAATGGATAAGTTAAAATGTAAACTTGATGAAATGTTGGAAATGAGAATAATAGATAAGGTAACTGAACCTACGGAATGGGTTCATCCTGTGGTTTTAGTCCAGAAACCAAGTGGTGATTTGAGAATTTGCTTGGATCCCAAGTTCTTAAATGAAAATATACGTAGAAGTCATTATCAGCTACCAACGATTGATACGGTAGCGAGTCAGTTAACAAATGCTAAGTTTTTCTCTGTGTTAGATGCTAATGCAGGTTTCTGGATGATTCCTTTGGACAAACCAAGTTCTTATTTGTGTACGTTTTCGACTCCCTTTGGTAGATTTAAATTTAATAGGTTACCTTTTGGGGTACGAAGTGCGCCCGAGATATTTCATAGAATTGTGAAACAAACTTTTGAAGATTTGACTGGGGTAGATTCTTACATTGACGATATAGTTGTATGGGGAAGCTCTAAAGAAGAGCATGATCATAGACTTAGACTAGTACTAACTAGGGCTAGAGAAAAAGGGTTTAAATTTAATCCAGAAAAATGTAAAATAGGTGTGGAAGAAATCACTTATCTAGGGCATAACTTTAACAAAGATGGTGTTCAAATAGATAGTAAAAAGGTAGAAGCTGTAAAAAACATACCTAGTCCTAAATGTAAGAAGGACTTGGAGCGATTTCTTGGGTTAACTAATTATCTTAGTAAATTTATTGATCATTATGCGGATAAAACAGCACCTTTAAGGGTTTTATTGCAGAAAGACACTGCTTGGTATTGGGATGAAAATACTGAAAAAGCTTTTCAGTTCTTGAAAGAGACTTTGTGTAAAGCACCTACTTTGGGGTATTTTGATAATTCTAAGCCCATAACTCTTAGCGTGGATGCGTCCTCATTTGGCCTTGGAGCTTGTATATTGCAGGAGGGTAAGCCATTAGCTTATGCTTCCAAGTCGCTTAATTCATGTCAGCAGAATTATGCTCAAATTGAAAAGGAGATGCTTGCAATTACTTTTGGATGTGAAAAATTTCATCCTTACCTGTATAGTCGTACTGTGTATGTAGAAACGGATCACAAACCGTTAGAATCCATTTTTAAGAAACCTTTATGGAAAGTTCCTATGAGACTGCAACGTATGTTGTTGAAAGTTCAACCTTACAATTTGGTAGTAAAATACAAACCTGGGAAACTCATGTATGTTGCTGATACGTTGTCTAGAGCTGTAGTTAATGAACCTGATGTTTTTGATAGGGAGTTGGATTGTCATGTAAACTTACTTGTACATAATTTGCCAATATCTGAAGCTCAACTAGATAGGTTCAAAAATGAGACGAGTAAAGATCTTGTGATGTTAAAGTTAATTGAATGTATTCAATCTGGTTGGCCTTCTGAAAAAAGCAAAGTTGATGACGCTGTGAAACCTTTTTGGAATTTTAGGGAAGAATTGTGTGTTTATAATGGATTGTTATTTAAAGGTGATAAAATTGTAGTACCTCACTCATTACAAGCTGATATGTTAAAGCGAATCCATGAAGGTCATCTAGGTATTGAGCGATGTAAACAAAGAGCAAGGGAGGTTATGTTTTGGCCGGGCATGTCTGCTCAAATAACCGATCTGATTAAGAGTTGTTTAACATGTAATATGTATCAAAATTCACAAACCAAAGAACCTATGTTATCTTACAAGATTCCTGATTTACCTTGGGAACATGTTGCTTCTGATCTTTTTATGTATAAAAATGCTATGTACCTACTAGTTGTTGATTATTACTCAAACTTCATTGAAGTTGTAAAATTGCCGGATATTAAAAGTAGTACTATTATCATGTATATGAAATCTTTGTTTGCTCGACATGGCATTCCAAAATTGTTAAGTAGTGATCAAGGTACTCAATATACTTCTAGTGAATTTGCTCAATTTATGAAAGAATGGGACATAAAACATGTTTTTACAAGTCCATATTTTCTAAAGAGTAATGGTCTTGCTGAAAGATCTGTGGGTATAATCAAAAGATTGTTAAGTAAATGTGATGAAAGCGGACAGGATCCATATCTAGCTCTTTTGAATTTAAGGAATACTCCTAGGGATAATCTTCCTTCTCCTGCAGAATTGTTAATGTCTAGAAAATTGAATTGTAGATTGCCTAGATCTAAGCAGATGTTGAAACCGAGATGTGTAAATCCTAATTTAATCAGGCCTAAGATTAATAAAAAAAGACAGACTAGCAAATTTTATCATGATAAAGTCAGTAAACCTTTGAAAAAACTTGATGATGGTAAGGAGGTTATGTTTAAAAAACAGCCTAAGGACAAAAAATGGGTACATGGTAAGGTTAAAAGTTCATTGAATCAGCCTCGTTCTTATATTGTTTCGGATGATTATGGTAACTTGTATAACAGAAATAGGGTGTTTATTTCTCCATATAATAGTCCTAAAAATGTATCCAGTCCTAGATCAAGCCCAGAAAAATCTAATGTTCTTAGTCCTAATGTGTCTAGTCCTAGAAGTCAGGAGAAATCTAAGGTTTTGAGTCCTCAATTGAATTTATCAAACAATGAGTCTGTTAGTGAAGAGCAAACTGTGAAACATTTTAATGATCATGTAACAAGGTCAGGGAGAGTAGTTAGGAATCCTAAGAGATTCACTTTCAGTTCGGATGATTAATTAGTTTCATGAGATAGTTCTCAAGATGAAATGGGTTAAGTTGCCTATTGTATTTTTATAGCTATTTTTCTGTTGTTGAGTAAAGATAATACATTTTGTTTTTATAAAAAAGGGGAGATGTTATAATATAAGTGACAACTCTTGTGCTTAAGCTTATTCCTCTTTGCAGTATCGATGTTAGTTACTCTATGACAAAGAATA